CTGGGGGAGGGGAATAAGAGAAAACCTGCTGCAAGGAGAAGGTGGAGGGCACAGAGGGTGAGAGCTGAGTTCTAGCCGTGTTCCTCTTCCCATAAATGTGGACTCCCACACAGGTTGCTGTCACTCATGTGGTAATCAAAGATGATGGCTGTGAGGTCCCAGCCATGCTAGGGGTGAAGAACAGATGGACAGACTCCCTGTGTAGGGATTCTTTGTGCAAATCTAACACACAGGGTGGGGCTGACGGGGCAGAGAACAGCTCAGGAGTGTTGTCTTGCCATCCTCCCAAGACTCCTTTCCATTTCTACTCAGATGATCTGGGATAGAGGCCAATTGGGATAACACAGGCCATCTTCAGGAAGATTATTTTTAACTACTGAGTAAGAAAAAGAAACTAACTTCTTTTATCCAACCAGAAAGAAGGTTCAAACTCATGCCAGTCATGGTAACCAAACCAAACCAAACCAAACTCATTGCTGTTGAGTCAGTCCCAACTCATAGCAACCCCTCCTTGGGTTTCTGAGGCAGATTGCCCAACCTTCTTTCCAAAGAGTGGCTAGTGGGTTTGAACCACCAGCCTTCTGGTTAGCAGTCAAATGCCTTAGGCTAAAGAGGGATGGGCCTTCAGGGTTGCTGGGGGAAGGTGAGGTGGGGCCTCCATGTGGGGCAGGAGTGACAAGACAATGACAGAGTCTGTCTTAGTACTGCATCCAGAGGACCCTGGGGGTGTTCCTGTCTCCCCTTCCCACACCCCCAGTGAGGGGCCCCAGGTTGCTCCAGCTCCCACCAACCAAGACGACCCATTCTTGTTCAGTTTTCTTTGCTGTTGTGTTTTACTTCAAAGCACTGACATCACTGGGCATTGCTGGAACCACAGTCATGTGGAGCAGGGCGTCAAAGCAGCTACAGAGAACAAGACATGTTTTTTGTCTTTTTATTATTCTTTTTTATTTACTGGTCCTACCAATGTGACTCTTTACACAGGCCCACTGTTCCTATGCACAGTGGCTTTGAAGATGTTCAAAGTCATGCTTGTGCCCCAAGAACCTCAATTAATTTCTCCTTCCTATTCTTTATCCATGCTCTACCTCATTTTCTCTGAAATTAAAGGCATTTACTTTTTGTTTGTTTGTTTGTTTGTCTAGGGCTGTGTAAAGGTACCTTGGCAGAAGAACATGCACATGACCTTAAAATAAAGACCAACATTCTGACACTAGGGTAATTCACAGAGAAATACAGTACTTGACAGCACTGGAAATAAATACCCCATACAGTTGAAGCTATCTCAAATGTAACAATATTTCTTATAAATCAATACTGTAACATAAGGTAAAAATAGGAGTCCCTATAACTAGGAATAAGAAATGCTTATTCCAGGAAACAGAATTCTTTTATTCTAGCCATATATATTGTTATCATTTATACTTTCTTTCTGGAGTAGGCAGGAGAGTTTTTTTTTTTTTTCTTTTCCCTTCTTCCTCCACAAATACCAATTTGATCATTCACATGAACCTCAACAAAGAGGGTGCAGATGCAGACCCACTGACCCAGCTTGCTAAGGAGCACTAGCGATTTCTGTTTCCTGAAATTAACAGTGATTAGTCACACCAAGCAAGAGAAGATCTTAATGTCTCATTTTCACATTTGCAAAGAATACTAAGGGTTAACCCATGCCCACCGCTGTGCGAAGCAAAGAAAGAGCACTGACTCTCCTAACACATCCTTGGTTCTTCACAAACGTGTTATTAATACAACTTGCTTAGTTCCAGAAAAGTCCATTTGGTTCCCAAAGCACACTCTGTGTTTTGTGTCTACTTTCATTTTCTAAGCCCCTGAATTTGCAAGGATCTGCAGAGTAAAGAATCACTGACTAACAGAATTTTGTACAATTACTGTTCTTTTTTGATGGAGATGCCCAGGTAAAGGTGTGAAAGTGCACTCTCACCTCACACTTATTGCTTCACACTGGCCGTGAAAATTACCAACCATTTTAGAGAATAAATCACTCTGGGACACCTCCCTTAAATGATGAAGGCACTACTGGCAATGATTACTAACAAAAAGGTGTTGAAATAGAACACCCTAAAAACTGATGACTGTAGAATTTTCTAAGTGTACCACAATTTGGCACAACAACCAGAGAAACAAAACAATTCCAATTTGGAATTTCACTGGTACAGTTGTATAAAATCCTGTTAATCAGTCATGCCTCACAATGTCCTAAAACCCAGAAAATTCTGGAATCTGTAGGTAATACTCTTATTCAATAATTTATTATTTTTTTTTTCAAATGCCTATTACTGTTTTAACCAGAGCAAAGGTCAAGTTTTCTTCTTGTTACATTGAACTATTCCTAAGAATAATAATAATACAATATGAAAAATCCCAGAATCTGAATACTCTGGATTTTTTAATGAACATGGCATTTAAAACTCCATCATTTCAAACATGAATCATAATTTTGTATAATCTAAAAGGCTGCTGACCCACAGGGTGGATCTGTTAGCCGAGCTCCTTGTTGGGTCCAAGCCCTCACCTAAACAGCCTAGAGCTATGCACTAAAAGGAGTACACATGTTCGCAGCGTGCCGACATCCAATCAAGAGGTTGAGGGCTAAGATGGAAAGCTACATGACCATGGAGCACACGCCACATCATCTGAGAACCATCTTTATATGAGGAGTGAGGAAGCAAGTATATCAAAGTATCAAAAGTGCACAGATTTATCGGATAAGAAAGGGTGTCAGTAACAAGAAGGGTCCCCTGTGGTGTCTCTAGCTGGTTCACAATGAATATGGTGGTCACAGTTTGGAATAGATTCCTCAGCACTTGTAAAAAGGTCTTTCAAGCAGCAGCTCACAGCATTTTCAACATTAAAGCTCTCATTCTTCCCATTGCAAACCTGGGGAATGCTGATTTGAAAAAAAAATTACAGTGGCATATCCAAAGATATTTCTAAGTGGGAATTAGGTTGCCTTTCCTTCCTCCGTGTGGGTGGCCCACATTCTTCCAACCGCAACCACGAGGGGAGGAAAGGAGCTGCAAGGCGACAGGGCCAGGCAGCCGAGTCCTCTCAGCAACTACTCTACAGCTGGAAATGGGAGAAAACAAGATGCAGTTAGAAAACCAGTCACATCATGCCAGCTTATCCCACATCTCAAACTCTTGATGGTGCTGAGAGCATGCGGGGAGAGTTAGTTGGCAGAGTAGAAACCTGGGTATCTGTTAGCTGCGGCCATGCTCTGCAGTGGGGCTGGCCCTGAGTGCCGCACAAAGACCCTTACAAGTACTGAGAGAAGCCGCTGCAGTGGCAGACAGAGCCAAGGGTGCAGAAGGGCACATGCAGTGACACATGCAGGGCAAGCTGAGATAGAAAGTCACCCCTCTAATGAGTACTGCTCACCAAGGCAGGGGACGGTGTGACCTTTCTCAAGGAGGAGAGGCATTCCAAGGCCCACTGTAAGCCAAAGGATACCTGCAGGGCCCATCCCTCCACCATTCCAGGCTGCTGTGGGCCTAGTCCAAAGTGTATTTGCAGCATGTGGAGTTTGGTGGGGATCAAGACACACTCAAGAACCACATGAAAGAGTGAAGCAGGGGCAAACACCTTTGTGAGAGGGCAAGGCAGTCTCTCATCAGATAATGTGAATTTCCCCTCTGCAGAAAGGCACCCTCTGACTTTCAACAGGTAAGGAGCCTTTAGGTGAAGAAGACATAGCCTCTTGTCTACCTAACCCAACAGAGTGTTCAGGAAGAGAAATACTGAGAGAAGTTCTGCACCAGAAGGTGTAAACTCAGGATGCCTGATGCAGTGTAGACAACCTCTGCTAACTAGCGGAAGAACCACAGGGTCCCACAGTAACTTTCCTCATTTTATGGCCTTATTCCCACCCAATCCCACAAAGTAATAAATAAAGGAAGCCACACTCCTACCCATGCATCTTGGGACCTGGTCCCACTCAAACTCTTTGAGAACAACCCCAGTAGGGTTCCTGCCACTGACTTTGAGGGTTTTCCAACTCAGCTGAGCTCAAGATGCTCAGACTTCAGGCTCTGGGTTCACAGCCCTGTTCCTCAGGGTGTGATGTCACCTGGGAGGAAGTGAGGCACTCTCAGTGGGTGGGTGAGCACAGAGCATTGCAGCCATAAACACTGGCTTGTGGATAGGGGCAAAGAGCAGGGAAAATCACCGCTGTACAAAAGGAGGGAGCTTCACACTAGATACAAAGGCCTTGGCTAGGCACTTTGGAAAGCTTTTTTCATTGGAACTATGGTTTCTGTCAGCTACCTTCCCACCTGCCTGCAGGCCCAGACAGATGTAAAACCTCAGAAAGGAATAAGCAGCCAAGTCAAGTATCCTGGGCTAGATCAGCTGCACATAGGTTAACACATCCATTGGTTCCCCAGTGACATGTGCATTTCCTGCTTAGTGGTTATGGGAAACTCAAGGCTTCTCTGGCCCTGGGTTTGGGGTGTAATTCTGTACTTCTGTCCTGAATGGGATGTGCAGTGAGATGCAGTACAGACTGAATAGTTCTATAAAGCAAGCCACATGCAGAGTCATATGCTGTAGTCGCTCCAACTGTTGGGTGGGAGCTGGGGCTGAGGAGCAGGACAACTACAGGGCACACATACCAGGACATGAAAGTTTCCAACTCAGGTCCTCTCCTTCTTTGCTGGCCTGAGCAAGGAGGCTGGACCAGGACTTCCTTGCCTTGGGGTTCTCTCCATGGTGCCCATACCACCAGGAAACCTCTTGCTTACATCTGTTTTGTGTGGCTCTAACCTCTCCTTTGACCTCTACCAAAAAGAGCTGCTAAGGGGAGCGTCCTGTGAGCGATGAGAAGACAGAACAGACACAATGTGCCCAAGGGTCCAGCAGGCCAGGATACTGTACCCACACAGGTGTGGTCAGAGATCTTCCCATGAGTGAATTAGTCGGGGAATGAAGCAAACAGATGGTGCATGGAGTGTTAGCTGCAGCGTGTGGTGCCCGCAGCCCTAGTCACAATAAATGTTATACTTTTCTCTACAGAACACCTGAGTGGAGAGCCCAGAGACCTCAGCCCTGTCACTAGCACAGGCACAGGTGTGACTTACACTCGGGACGCTGGGCTTGACCTTGGGGGTGGCCTTGGTGCGGCCACGTCGGGCCTGCTCGTGGTCCAGCTCAAGCAGCTCCAGCCGCTGGGTCAGGGCCAGCTTCTGCTGGATGGCCATGCGCAGCAGTGAGTTTAGCGTCTTCTTCTCATCCTCAGCAGCTGCCAGCTGCCGCTGCATCTCGTCCAGCTGCGTGATGTACTCATCACACCTACAGGGCAATGTGAGAGCATGTGAAGGGGCACAAGTGGCTGGGCTGAAGTTATTCCCAGGTCAAGGAGACAAGGGCCCAGGGGACTGGTGGCAGCAAAGTGGGCTTGCCTGAGACATAGAGGAGAAGCAGAGGCAGTGAACCCATCTTCCATGTGGGAGGCTTGGGGCTGAAGGGGGCAGGGGAACCATGTTCCAACTTCTTTTAGCAAAGGCTTTGTAAGCCTGATTGGCCCATGTCCTCTACTCATATGCCCTAAGATGCATGCATGGGAGCAGTATGCTCACAGCCCACCCTGGACTTTATTACTAGGCCTTCCACCATGTGGGAAGATCCTCACAAAGGCTAAGCACAAAGCACCCTGACTGTGGCTGGTCAGAGAGGATGCTCAAGGCCCAGACAGTGCAGGCCTAACTGGTTGGTTGGTTTCATTTTTATTTTTTTACCAGGGGGAAGGGAATGTATTTGACTCAAGCTGCTTTACCTATTCAGTGAGGTTTTCTATGAAGCAGCTGTTCTCCCGAGCTATACAGCTTTCTCTGCAAGGGGATCTTTGGAACAGGTGTTCCCAAAGGAGAATGTGGGCTGCCCTTTCAGACCTTGTGGTAAAGCCAGTGATGCCATTTGGACTGTGAAATGGGCAATGTGGAATCATCTGGCTTTCAAGGGTGTGGGTGTGGGTGTGGACCCCGGAGGGGCGAGCTTGGGTTCTGGTTTCAGCTGTACTGGTACCTGGTATGATACTTGCATTCAGCAGGTGCTTAGTGGATCTGTGCTAAGGGAACCACCCAAGCCATGCAAAGGTATGTGGGAGCATAGTGGGGTAGACAGGAGCAGTTCCTGGGACTCTGCTCAACTTGGGACATATCTATCTTTCCGCCCATCTGGCTTCGACCCCAAGTGGTAAGGGACAGAACTGGGTAAGGTCTAGGCAGGGTATTCTGCATAAGAGGTACCACAGTCAGGAGGTCCCAGAGGTATCAAAACACTCAGGTGTTCTGAGCCTGGCCCATGCCAAGCTGATTCTAGAGCTGAGCTAGCTGCACAGTCACTCCTCACACTGTAGGCCTGGTCCTAAGCATCCAGCATTCGAGCACATCCACTCCCCCACCCTGCCACCATGCAGCACCTCCCCAGGAACTTCCACCCACCCACCCACAAATGGAGGTCAGAGCTGAGCAGGCTGCAGACAGCCCCTTGGAGCCAGAGATTGATCTCAGTCCTCCAGGTATAATGCGTAAGTTTGAGATCCTTGTGCCAATCTGAAAAGTCAGAGGCTGCATGTTTTTAAATAAAGTATGTTTAAAAAAGCTGACGTTTAGGTTTTGATTCTGAGGAATTGTGAATTACTTTCTCAAGGGCTTGCCTATGCCCCAAGAAGAGGCTGAAGCTTCCAGAGAAAGCCTACAACTGTCTTTCCTTGTCTTCTCCCCTTTTCCTCCAACATAATTGGCTTAGCATGGAGCCCTGGTGGTGCAGTGGTTAAAGTGTATGGCGGCTAAACAAAAGATCAGTGGTTCAACCACTCAGAGAGGGATTGATCTATGTAGGAGATCCTGGATAGA